ATTTTAAAAAAGAATCGTATTTTTTGTAATAATTTTTTGTTCGAAGGTCTTACAAAAAAAAAAAATGAAAAATAAGTTTTGTAAAAAAATAAATTCTTCTTTTCTTATAAAGGTTTCTGTTGAGGAATTATTCATAGAAATAAATCCTGGCTTAGCCAATGCCAAGCTGTTGTCGCTGAACCAGGGCTGGCTTTCTCATCAGCTGATCATCTACGGTAACGAAAGCAGCTTAGGAAACTGCTGCAGCCTGTGATTACTAGATTGGTGATTCTTTAAAAAAAAAAAAACTCACATTCTGCTCATTAATTCGTCGACTTTGCGCTCGCTCCTGCAGCAGCTCCAGCGCTCGAGTTTTCTTTGCCGCATCGCCCGGTTTTGAGGAGGAACGCTGTTTTACACGATCATACATCGAAAGGCCCACTGATCCGGATGCTTCTTCCTCCATGAGCAATCGTTTTAATTCACGATCAAAGGACTGAAAAACCAATTACCTGATAACCAAAAAACCTTCTAATCCCCCTTCCCTTTCTCCTTTTTCTTCCTCCTTCCCTTGTACCTTTTTTAGCAAGGCGGTGAAGAGAGGAAAAGAAATTTTTTTACCCTAAAATTCTCTACAAATTAATGCGAAAAAAGCTACAATATGCCTTAAATACATAACCCCCTCTTTCCACCACCCCATCACCCCTAAAGAAAAAGACCGCTCCTCGAGCCTGACATGTATATGTGCCCTGCTAAATGAACAAACGCATTGTATGGTACCCTATCAGCTTTTTTGCCTCCGAGGGCTTTTAAGAACCAAATTGATGCCAGATTCGACTCAATGAGATGTTATTTGAACTAAGATTTATCGTTAAACAAACACAGCGTTCAATAAAAAATGTGATAATAGTGATAAAAAACGTGATAAAAATGTGATAATGAATTAATTCGCATGAAATCTACCGATAATGTATAAATAAAATAACTGCTAGTGTCTGATAAGCAAAAATAATGCATGAAAAACACTGTGAAGTTCATCTGCCCTAATTTTCAAAAGAACAAATGATCAGCTGGTGAAAATTCACCAAAAAAAAACCCGTCTTCTTAATTACTCTTTCATTCAAAAAAAAGCCTAAGTGCTAGGCACGTGCCAAAAGCAACCACACGCTGGTAAGACTGTTGATGACTCGCTCTCTTTTGCAAGCTGTTAAGAAACAAGTTCTAACGGCAGATTTGACTCACTGAGATATGCTACGACCAAACAATATAAAAACGAATAATGAATCAGTAGAAAGACTGGCTATCCTATCAGCAAAATCGAACCCCATCCCCCCCCCCCCCCCCCCCCCCCCC